AATGACCTCGTGTATGTGAAAGTTTTCATTGTTTTTCAACTGTCTTCACTGGCATAATAGCAACATATAATCTCTCCCTAAACCTTGCTTCTCTCACATGAATGTATATGAAGTTAGGTAATTAGTGAGATGAAACAGAGAGGCAAATAAAGGTAATTATTAAAAAAAAGGACAGACTGATAGAACAGATGGAACTGACAGTTTGTGAAATAAATAGAAAAAGCATTTCTTGATTATTTCCCATCTGAATCTGGTCTCCTGTTCATTCTGTTTTCAACGGATTTGTGAAGTTACTGGAGCAATTCAGACATATCTCATATGCTTCTAATGCTGCACACATCACACCACCCCATCCATTAGTGAGTAGTACTAAAGATGTCCTTAAAACCTTAGTATTTGAATATTAAAAAAGATAGTAACTATATGTAAGATAACACTTTAAAAGACATTCGCAGTGGAACATTTTTCAGAAAAGGTCAGTACCTCAAATTTTAACATTCTGATATTAAATTCTCTCACAACCTTTGTTATTGAGCAAGAAGGACAATAATGGGGGGGGAGGAGGGGAGAATGTTCTTTAGATTCCTAAAAATAATGCTAAGAATTAATAATCTAAGATTGCATAGGACCTTACAGCCAAAAAGATATCACAGTCTATTCTGTATCTTTGAGAACCTGAAAGAGCATTCATTGAAACTGGAGACCAACTTGACAAAAGCTTCCTTTTTTGGTGGCTTATATGCAGCCACAGTGAGGCCTTAATTAATTCCTAAACTGGTTAGATGAAAAGCACAACTCCTATTTCCAATGTGCACCTAATATTTACTGCATTCAGGTTTAAAAAAAAAAAAAAACTTGAGGTAGGAAGATAAAATAAAAACGTACCCTAACAGTACAGGTTGGTAAAAGGAAAGTATGTTCTTACAGGCATACATTTCCTCTGTATAATTATGGCTTTAGGATTGCCCTTTAGAACAGAGAAATCTTATTCTCTATTGTCTTTACTGAATGATAATAAGGGCTTGATTATGTATAAAGTTTGCATTCTCAACTGATCTGGCTGTGAGAGAGAGAGTTCTTCCTGAATGACAATAAACCCATCCATTTCCTATTTCTTCTAAAAATCACCCACCCATGATTTGGAGCCCTTAGATAAGTGTCTCTCAGAGACAGATGTCATACATAGCATGGCCAGACATGCATGTTGGAGGGATAAACCATTTTCCCTAACAACAGAGCAGAACTTACAGAGAAAATCTTTGAGACTCCTGTTCGTTGACACAATGACTCTCGTGAAGCACGGGATTACTTCATTCCTTCTTGAGGTCTTCTACTTGCCAGTATCAGGTTGGTAAAATTGTAAGCACGCTCCAGTTAGGAACTAATTTGTCACCAGAAAACCACAAGATATTGGGAACAACTGGAGCTTGAACTGAGGTTGGCAAGGAGAACCGAGACATATGGAGTTACACTTCTTCCTCTCTATCACTGTAACTGTCCTCAACTCCATCAAACAACTTCTATTTGCTTCTCTTCCCTTTCCTCTAAGCCACCTTGGCTTTGTAAAAAAAGAAACAATTTAGAAGATTCTCTTAACAATTCCTAGACACAGGCAGTAGTGGCCATACTAAACCAACAATCAGTCTGAAGAGACAATAGGAACACTCATTCTAGCTGTACTTACATTCCAAATATGAAGTGAATTACATGCTCATGTATGACACAGCGAGATACAAACTGTTCCAAGCAACCATGTCCCACACACACGCTGAGCAACAGACCCATGCCATACTCTTCAAAGTTTAAAAAGTGGTAGTTAGAAGACTAATCTACATCTTATGATTTATGATAGCTGAAGTCATAGAGTTTCATTGCTTGAGAACACTGACAAAGGAATTGTGATCATATTTTTCAAAAAAATTAGATTACTCACCATACCTAGTCACTGTCATTGCTACCCACCAGAAAACCACAGCACATCCCCGCAGCATTTTCTGTTTTCACAAACCATGCATTTAGATGAGATAAGATTAAAGCTGTTGGAGTTTCATATTTTATCCCAAGTCTAGGTCTTTGGCTCGTGATTTCAATTCTGACTTCTGCATAACAATTGTTGAGTAAAGCTATGTTCATCTGACTGATATTTCATATCTGTGTAATCTGTTTTACAGCATTTTCAAAGACTAAGGTTGTTTCTTTCCCTGATGAGGATTAAAATTTTCTTTTTAAGAAGTAGACCTAAAATCTTTCAGAGAAATAAAGCATACAAATGTACCTATTTTATACCTTTTTTTATCAGAGGTGAATCAAAGTTATGATGTAGCTCACTTAGTTTTGTTTAACAGTTTGTATTTTACAGCATTATTTCTATAAAGTTAACAACGAGACTTATGAATACAAGCTTAACTCCTGAAATGGTACCTAAATATAGTTCTTCTGTTCCTTTCCCTGTACAGATAAGAAATAGGAAATCAGTTTTGGACTACAGAACATGTGCAACATTACTGTTTGCTAAACTTTATGCTGTGTAGGATTAACTTGGTAAAATATCTCAAAATACGAACACTAAAAGCCAAGTGGCATTTTCAGTATTTTCAATTCACTTATTAAAAATAAAGCTTTTTATTTCTTCCTCCGATGATATAGATACTCCAAAAGTATGTTTAAATATACTCATCAGTGCAACTATCAAAGGGTAAGTGTGTATTATAGAAACGAGCCCCCGGATTAAGTATATATTGTGAAATGTATGTGAATGTGCATGACTTGAACCAATGAACTGTGGCCTGAAATGATGTCACAGAATGTGCAGCATTAAGTGGAAGGTTAAACCTACTTGCATCTCGGTTCATTAAACGCAGTTAAAGTGCAAATTCCCTCATTCTGACAGTAGTAATCACAAGGGTTCACTTTCTGGTCACAGCGCTGACTTTTAAACCCCACAGAGCATCTGCAGAATTTCAGTAAAATAGACCTATGTAAATATTCTACCTTTTGCTGAACAGATTTTAAACGCATTATATATAATGATGGCAAGACACACACACATACACAGGCACACACCCAGAGATAACAAAATCAATACTCTGTTTTTCATGTAAGGTCCAATCTGACTATACTGAAAAGTTTGCTCATCAGCATTGATCAAACGCTTTTAAAACAATGGGCCTAACTGATGGGTTCAGGAGTCTAACATTCTTAATAAAGTATTATTGTCAAATGTACTATACATTTGTATTTATCAATCCAGAGTGCAATGGCCTTAAAAATGTTCATGACTGTTTTCCTAGCACTGCTAACAGTGTTGACATATGCTGCAGCATTTGTATAGTGTAAATCCACACACAAATTAATGTATGAAACCTGTTTTCCTTGAGATGCTATGGTGTTCCATATGAATTTGAAAAAGAATAAGCCAGTTTTATAAGGAAAAAGAAAGGAAGAATCACAAGCTTCCAAAATAGCCATTCTAGGTGTTTAAGCAAATGAATCACCAGACTTAATCATCATATTTGGGTCTTACATATTATAGCTGTGATATTCTCCTTTTGCTGAGATTTATAAGTCTCCCTAGTCCTCAACTAAAGACATTTACGGAGATACAAATAACAGGTTAAAAGGGCTGAATCAAAATAATAATGAAAAAGAGACATAGGCACTACACGCATTTTCAGCTGAATAAGGACTACCATGCAGAACTGCATTCCACTGTCTCTAACCCCAAAGCTGCAAACATCTATTGACAACTTCTTTTCAATAGTACAGCAACTACAATTTTTCCCCTCTGCACATTCAGAAGTGCTTGAGCTCTCACAGGGAGGAACAATTGGTCCATCTCTTACACTGGGCAGACTACAAAATCTAGGCACTTCTCTATGTAACTTCCTTGAGAGTCTGAATACAACAGGCACTCTCTTTTAAGTTCACCTGCCTCATACACATCAACAAAATGAAGGGATGGCTGTATCTGTATTTACAAAGCTGTAATGCCAGATCCCTTTGGACAACAGCTTACTAATGTCACCCTGGAAATGAGACAATCGAGTCCAATTCTCTCTTCCAACACCTCATATGTTCCTGGGAGATGCTCTGATCTCCAGGTTGTTCTGAGAAGTGGAAGCCTGTTCGACAATGAAGCTTTTCAGCAGTGCAGAAAAGATCGGATCGTTTATTAGGCAAAAGTAAAAAAACAAGGAGTATGACTAGGTAGCTCAGTGTAACTGAAGAGCAGGAAGGAAATTAATTTCTTGCTACAGTGCCTACTTCTGTATTTAACATTTAGCAGCTGAAAAAGAAGATACACCATAGCTCTCAAGAAAGGACTAGAATGTAGGCTTTTCTACCTCTTAAGACGGTACTTTACCATCTAGACTACAGAATCACATTTCCTTTGGTATTTGATGTCTGGGCTTAAGAAAAGCATCCTGAATTATTCTCTCAACCATGGTGCAGGAGGGAGAGAGCAATCTCCCCACAGAACAGCCAAGCTACTGTGGGCAGTGTGAAGGTTAGGGCAGAAACAACAGATACATGAGCAAATCCTCAGACCCATAAAGGACACAAACACTGACATTATTCTTCCTATTCTCAGGCCATCAGAAGGAGCATATTGCCCCTACCTCTGACCATCTTTATAGGAGACTCAATCCACCTTTGAGAAGCAGGGGAGACCAACCATCCTGTACCGCCCGATTCCATCCCTGAACAAATGCCCAAATGGGCTTTAGATCTGTCCTGAAATTATTAGAAGTCCCAAAAGTTATGTCTTTGTATCTATATGCATTCACAATATATACCTTAGTTATATCTTTCAATACACATATTGCAAAAGGTAGACAAAGTGTCAGGTTACAGAAATAGCTGGAAAAAGTACTGTAAGTTACAACTGCAACCAGCACATTTTACATCCTAGAGAGATCAAAAATAAAGGCACATGCATAATAATTTTATTATTTGTTGGCACACATATTTTAATGACCTATGCAATGCAGGATACTCACAGACAGACAGGTATATTTGTCTCTGGGTCAAGTTGACATGTACCACCGTTGTAACAGTAGCCGTCACATAACTGACAGGTAGAGGCAATCTTTCCATTAGTGCAACTGTCATGGTTAAGAAAAAATACAAGTAGCATTATTAATTCTGGTGTATTCCCTTATCAGTCTATATGTTAAAATACTGATTTTTATGATATGTATAGGATCTACTGATTGCAAGAATTCTAGGTTTCCACCTTGAAAAGCTAGCGCAGGGAGTGAGCTTTTTACATAAAATATTGTCAATCTTTCCTTTTATGAAAATAAACTATTATTATACAAAATACTCACTCGGCAATATAGCAGCACATCTTAATATACATGCTTTCATTAGTATACAATATGTCTCCATCACTGTCACAAGTACTGCAGAAAGAACAAATTTCAACAGTGTGGTAAAACTTGACTGTTAATTTGATTACATATTCCATTTTTTCCAAGTGAAGACCCATTCAGTCTCCTGCTACGTTATGCTTTCCCCAGTGAGGAGTGCTCCAAAAGTTGGTTTAAAAAGGCAGGAGTCAGTGGGTTCTGCGTGGGCAAGAGCCGCACAAAGGAACAGTTCTGATGTGACTGGTTCAGGGGCTAGCCACTGTGTAAGAGATTTGAAGGATGCTGCAGTATAATCACCATAAAATATATAATTTTGACCATAACCACCCCCCACACACACACTTACTTGCACACTATGTCATTACTGTCCTTGTTTATAATGCAGTGTCCCCCGTGACATCTGATACACTTGTCCACTTCACATTTTGGACCTTCAAATCGTACTGGACAGACACACTCTACGCTTCCATCATCAGAAATAGTACATGATTCAGAATTCACACAATAATGGTGGCAAACATCTGCAAGCAACAGAAAGCTAATTACTAAAAGACATTAAGGAGTAGCATAGGAAAAATTATACCTTACTTTTCTGTGGTTTAAAAGGTACTATAATAAAAACAAAATGATGAATGAAGCTGGTGGCTCACTGGCAACTACAAGAATGAAGAATAGCCCATAAACAGATACATAATATATTAACGATGTAGTCTTGAGAAGTGAAACAGAAGGATAAAAGAGATTTTTTTTTTTTTCCTTCTAGATGTCTAACCATTTATGGCATCATCCCACATAATATAAAGACTACTGATGAGAAAAGCAGAGCAATGTTAATGTATTTAATGGGACATTGGCTGAATAAAATCTTCTGATACATTCACATTACCATTAACAGCATTATGCTAAACTGAAATGGAAATAGTATTTTGAAATAATTAAGTTTTATTTTCATTTATCCACATATTAACATTTCGTGAAGTTATAATAATTATATATAAAGACACAATCCATAAGTTTTACAAAAAACTACATACATGCTTGTCTTTATAGACTGTGCAAGATCCCATTATCTTATTTAACTGCTTAAATGCCAGCAGGACTGAGATTTCAAGTAGTGAATTCTTTAACTCTTTAGAAGCACCAGTAACTGTCTGATTTTTTTTCACATGCCTTTAAAAAAAACCAAGTTGCCTAACTGAAGAAGCTTCCAGAGCTACAATATACTGGTATCTTAAAATTTTGTTTCATTTTTATTTACATGGTAGTGACAACCTTCTTTTTTTTTTTTTTTTTTTTAAAGTCGTCATTTAAGCTCCTTAAAGGGGCCAAATTATTTAAAGTCTCTATTTCTCTCTGTTTCTAATACTTTCTCCAGTTCTGTGTAGTTAACATGTTGTGTTGAGCTTTTGGTGGTGGTCCTGATGGACAGATGAAGTAATTGATCTATAAGATGTATCAATTCTGTATCTATGAATCTGCATTAGCTTAAGAGTTAACCTGGTCCATATTAATCGAATATTACCTTTCTGACAAAACTAAAAAATTCAAGCCCTTTGAAGCTCAGCATATGGCTAAGGGTGAGTCAGTAGCAGCTAGAAGTAGGGCGTTATCAAGCTGTTCCCTAGAGAATGAGACCTTGGCCAAATGGCAAGGTCAGCTTTGAGTCTGGAAGTGTCAGCTCTCAAGCTGCCATTTGCCTGGGGGCATGTTGTAAGCAGCAAATTGGAGACTACTAAAACTGATCTATTTTACCAAATATATTCAGGATGGACGATTTGTGAGGGCGTCTCAAAGTGGGAAACATTTTGCTTAAGCTTCCCTGTGCTGTTTTTCCCCCTCTAAGAGCAGTATGTACTGACTGCCGTTGGTACTCACCATGCTGGAAGAGTTCTGCTAAAGGAGAAAGCATGACTGTTGGAGGATTTATTTCTGTTTGATTATTCATTGTATGTCTCCACCTGTCTATGCAGGCTGTAGACTCATCTGCTTAAGGAATCACTACTGAGCAACCAGAGAGGCTTAAAAGACACTAAATGGAGTAGTTTGTTGTTTGCCATTCCCCAATTCAAGGTACAGAACAGGAATTTGCAGCAGGGGGGCAGTACTTTGAACAAAAACTTCTGTAGCTTGAAAGCTAATATTGAGAGACATTTTATGAAAAAAGCATTGCAAGGGGGAAAAGTTTCCATGCACATTAAGGCAACCTCCCCCCCCGCCCCCCCCCAAACCTAGGAATAGGAAGTTCATACTCTAAAACAATTACTGGTTTTTAATATTGATTGTAGCCACAAACACCTTTCATCTTCTGCTGTATCTGAAATGCGTATGCTACATTTGGACTAAAATTACACAAAAAATAGTTCTTTTTTTTTTCCCTGAAGAAAGGAATTTCAGTTTCAGGGAAAGTAACAGCTTGTGAGATCACTATATCCACTTTGAATGATTGTAACTGTGTGAAAACGCTTTCTATTTTTTAGGTTGTTTGGGCCTTAAATGATACAAGAAATGAACTTTAACTAGCCTGTATGTCTTATTTCAGGAATTTAAAATAGGGAGTTATATTCAAATACATCAAATTCATGTGCATATAACAACATGCACAATGTTAGTAGAATTCTATGTAAATTCATTCACTTAAATTTATTTCAGCAGTGCCAGTGCCTTGACACGGAGCACACATTTTGGTTATTAGCCCTTATGTGAACTAATCACAGGAGAAACTCTGCATTGGGTAATTGGAGACGATAAGTATGAGGAAAATAAGGTCTTTGCAATCTGGCAATACTGCAAGTAAATGTCTTCTCCCTGCCATAAAAAAACACTAATAATATTTTCAACCTGGGAGCATGAGTAAAATACCTATGCACATTCATGTATCACCCTTTGCATATGAACTAGTTTCAATCACATCATAGAAAGACTGAAAAAGATCTCTTAGAGGCAACCAATCTTTGCAATAATGCTATATTAATATATTCCAACATGCATAGAAAGTGAATGTGATTAATAAAGCAAAAAATCATACATATGTGTGAATAAAGCAAAAAATCATAGATGTGAATTTATATACACATTATTAACTGTAAACCTGTACAATTTCATTTGTACTGTTATTGGCCACAAAAAAAAAAAACACCAAAACAAAACCCACCCAACTCTAAAAGATTGTAAGACTCTTTTTCCTAAAAGAATTAAGGTTTAAATAAACAAAAGCTTAATTTTATTTTGTATTTTATAATGTGTTCGAGTCTCCGAACTGTGGCATTTTTACAAAGTGTCAGCAGACAGTCCAAATCTGATAATAAGCACTGTTTAAAAAGTAACCCTAAATTTACATTTAAATTAATTCTTTAAAAAAAAAAAAAAAAAAAAGAAAAGATGTTTGCAGAAGCATTCAACTAGAAACAATTTGTTTGGTTTCGGGTAAGCCTGAAGTAAATATTTTTTCTTAATCTGTGTGTCTGTCTGTGCATGATTTATGTACTATACTGTTTTCAAATACCCAATTGTGTTTGCAGATAGTTACTTGTGGATCCATGCAGTTTGTTTAATACCAAGTGGGAGAGAATCACAATTACTGCTGGTTTTCCATTCAAAGGATTCAATTTATTTCATAGTCTCCCAACTGGAAATACATTCAGTTTACTTCAGTACAAATCCTATTTAAGATACACACTAACCCTTTCCTTGTTTGACAGACCTTTCACTAAAACTAAATACTTTTTGTATCTTGCAGATAATTCTAAACCAGACCTTTATAACAACTAATTTCCCTTCTATTTGGTTGAAATCTGGCGTTCTTCAGCAAATTCACTGAATTATATACAAAAAAGATGATGGCTTTCACATTTAATGTTCTATTCTATAACAAGCACTATGACAGTCCTCTATTTTAGAATATTATAGCCAAAGCAAAGCAGGAGTAGAAAAAAGATTAAAAAAAATAATTCTGATCTCAGAAGAATAATCAGTTTTAGGTCAGGGTTGCTAGTGAGTCATCATGTTGAAGAGACATGAGGAAGACAAACTGTATGAGTGACCAAAAGAAGAAATTCAAGATTATGTTCAAATGTCTTGAGTCACTGGAAAACATAATGGTGAACCATGCTAAGAGAAAGCATGGAGAGAAAAGAAAGATAAACGGAGTAAGAGCAGAAGGCCTATTGGTTGATAATCTTCTTTCCCCTCTCTGCTGTAAAAGAAGTAAAAATTTAGAGAAAGTTCTAAAAAGCAAGAAAAGCCTTTCTAAAGGCATGGAAACCTTTGGAAAACAGTATCTCAATGAGAAGAGACTGATGGGTCAGTGGAAAGGCAAACTATGGAGAACTTCAGATGCAGAGGACAGAACCTAAGTCCTGAGAATTAAACAAGAGTAATACTTAGAAATCCTGATTTTCAATACTAGGAGGAGGCAGAAACCATGCTGAAGGTGATCGTGGACTGAGCAAGATGAAGGAATACAGAGGTGTGAAACTTAAAAGTCAATACGCTGCTTACTGGGGTTAGAAATACAAAGAAAAGGTAAGGTAGCAGTTGGAGACACAAGTGATGGCCTGTGAAGATGAAGGATACCAGAGAAATTCTTTAACCAGCTATATCAATTTGCTACATTGAGGTATTCCACCAGCATAAGATAACAAATACATGAAAAATTCAACACTATTATCTCATTTCTATTGACAAAGTCAGCTGTCTTTTACAGCTCCATTGTACATATTCATTCATGAAAATACTAAAATAAATAATTCCTAAAAAAGCTTTTTTCTTCTCCTACACATGTAGATGGATATTGTGGAAATATGTTCAAAGATCACTTGAATGCATCAGATTCCATTCCCTTAGCAGTATGAATCATTTTGGAGCTAAGTTTACCAACACGTGCTGTAGAAAAATCACTGAAATCACATTAAACTCCCATTTTGTAGAACTTCTATTATAAATCCAGATTTAAGAGTTTGTGAAGATTACTTACAATACTGACATCTGTCTCCTGTATACTCAGGCAAGCAGTTGCAAAAGGCTTGATTCCCAGCAGTGACACTACAGGTTCCTCCATTTTGACAAAAATGATGGCAGACTGTCTGATTGCAGTTTGGTCCTGTAAAACCCAGCGCACAGTTGCAAGTAGGCCTCCCTATTCAAAACAAAGAAAACTATTTTATGATAAAAATAAACATTAAAATAATAATCAGCACTTTAAAGATAGAGACATTTATCATAACAGTAGCAAGTTTTAATGTATGAGCCGCACTACATTTCTCTAGACTAATAAAACATACCTTTGCAAACATTGCTTGAATTCAGAACTTTTTAAAAAGCAAGTCAGCTCTGTAAGATATGGGCACCTCAAAAACTGCATCTATGCATTTTACACTTGCGCATGTATGGGCATTGACTCTGTTTGGGAATTATTTTAAAAGACAGTCATAAGTAGGAATTTAAGATATGACTAAGCTCTTCAAATTATCCTGCCAGGCTGGGTTCCTCCAGATGCATAGGATAAATGTTTGTATAATCAACATTGATGCCTCTTCAGAATACACTCCATTATTCTCAAATCTACAAACCTTGACATATAATCACATGAGTGTACAAATATTTACCAATGTGCTAATAGCCAACTTTACACAACAATTTTTACTAAAACACAAATATCTTTGCCTGTTTTGTTATCCTATCCCTCTCATATAATAAATACTATAACATAAAAATTGCTGTCTTGCATCAGACCAAAAATGCCTGTAAGGTCAATATACAATGTCTGAAAAGCAGTGAACACCTAGGAATGAATATTTGCACAAAATGAACTCCTAGTCGATAGCTTCTTTTTAAAGGGTGTTAAAGTATTGTTTAAAACCGATGCATTTTCCTCCTATGATTCTTCCCTACTGTAATTTTCCCATTTTTTTCCCTTATCTAAATCTCATGTCTAAAGGATTTATAACTTTATTACAAATCCACTGTTTTATTAAACTCTTTCACTTTTCCCTGACTTTTTTCTTAAAGCTTATCTTCTTTAAAACAAATTTCTAGATCCCATAAATGTTTTTCCATCTCCTGACTTTGCTTTTATATCTCATTTGTAATCTTCTCTTCAAGTAAATGGCTTGATGTGTCCAACTAGCCTTCTCACTTCCTAATAATCTATTCTCATTCTTGTTTATTTCTTACAAAACATTATTTTTCCCCCACCCTCCTTCCCTTTGCTTTCATTCAGCCTTTAGGGTTTTCTTAAACCAGAGTTTAACACTTTTCTTCTTCCTGGCTTCTAAGATGAAGATTAATCAGGACCTTTGTTTTGAAACAAAGGGGCAGACAAGATGATCTTCATTTGAATCATAAGGAACTCAACCTGCTGGCAAGTACAATCAAGAGCTTAACTGGGTCAGTCCAGAGCGAGGAATAGCTGACAGGCAAAGACCCAGCCCTTTGAGTAAAGTCACAGAAATAACGTATCTCTGAGGAAGGGACCATGCATGGACTAGCAATAGTCAAAGAGTAAACAGGTATCAGGCAGAACAAAAGGAATGCCTCGTAAGTAGACTAGAGAAAACCAAACCAGTAACACATGTGCTTTACATAAATGGCAAAAACCTAAGAATTAAGATGGGAGAAGCAAAATGCCTAGTCTTGAATGGGAACATCAGTATCATTGGCTAGAGCAAATTTGGAAAAGGAAGACAACTAATGGGCTGTTGTAAAACTAATACACGTTTCCTCGATATCTAGTCTTTGCCCATGATAGAACAGGGCTACGTTTTAAGAAGTGTTAAAGTCAATCAGATTAGCAAGTTAACTACATAATGTACTCTATGTGTGATGCCGAAGCCCTTTGGACTGGAATTACAAGCACAAACAGGAAAAATAGCTTATTAGATTTTATTATTGACAGCCCAATCAGGGTAATGATATGACCGTGGAATCTGAAGAGATCAGAAAAAGTCAGAGAATATGTTAACAATGAGAAACTCCAGTTATCCCTGCATTTACACTTGAAAAACCTCACATCACGCCATAAGGCAGAAACAAACTTCTTACATTTAAACAATCCTACTTCATGAAGGGGTGGGTGAGCAAGCACACAAGAAAAACAATGCTTGACTTAGGCCTGACTTGGTTTAAAACATACAGAAGAGCCAAAGTGTTTAGTCAAATGAAATAATATTTAAGGGTTACTTTTCCATAATAATTATCTCTCACGTTCATACGTATCTACCAGGAAATCCTTACCGCTGCCTGATTTACTGATGCATTGTGACTACGTCCCTTCCTTGCTATCTTTCACCTCATTCATTGTTTCCTCATTTTAACGATGTCTGGTGTACGTACCCACAACTACTTTCCCATTTGCCTCCTGCTGTCTTTTACCACAGCTGCATCTAAAACTCTGAAATGTGCAACCCTTCTTACCTTTTCTTTTTCCTTCTGTATTCAGTTGGCTGTCTCATTACAGTAATGTAGATTAAACTAAATATTCCATAAACCCCACAATTATAATTTTCTTCTGGTCTGCTTTTATTTTAATACTATGTAATCGTTTAATATCATATTTGTCAGAGAATTTTTCAAGGCAAGTGAAGTGCCCTCATTTTTTCTATTCTCTCTGATTCATGCGGAAGGATTTATTTATTCTTTTTCCTTCACTTACATCTTACTCTTTCTTCTTACATGAAACCTTTCACATAATTCTTTTCTATATTTTCTATTTTAAGCTATGCTAATTTAAAGTGTTTTGCAAATCATCCTAAAGGCCATGAGATCAGTTAGTCTCTTTCTCTAATGAGTACAGCAGAACAAAACCACTGACATAAAAATAGCTCCAACTAGTTTAATATGCATCAGCCTGGTTATTCATATCTGTCCCCTGTGATTTAAACATTAAAGATATTGAACTCGGATGTTAGCACAGACTCTTTTTGTTTTTCCCCATGTATACACTTGTATTTAAATTTCTCCCCCTAAGTCAGGGGGTTTCAGTTTATCCTTCATCTGAATCACTGTTTCAATAAAAAAGTTAAAATAAAACAGTGATAGAGCATAGATCTGGAGGTCTGAAATCAGTTTTTATTGTTAATACTCCTCTATTTTTTAAAATGATGGGGCGATGATATTTTCCTGGTTTGTAGAAAAGATTATTCTATTCTTTGTTAATGTAGGCTGATAAATATGCCAAACTGCTGACAGTTATATGAAAATTTAATACAGTATAGCCTAAACCCCATTTTTATCACTCAATTTAACATGACTTCTAGTAATGTTAATAGTTCATTGCCTATTTATACACAGACTGTTGGCATCTAAAATAATACTAATAATGACATTTTAATCTGCCTTATTCTCATAAATTATTTCTGATACAGAATGGTTCCAAGAACAGTTTAATAAAACTGCAGTATTAAACAATGACAAACAATGCCATAAGGTTTTGTGTCCTAGAATCAGAATATTGATTTATGTTTGCAAAGGAAATAGTCATGTTAACCAAGATGTCACATATCCTAACTAACAAACATTGCACGGTAATCTCATGCACAGAGAACTTCAGCATTTACACTGGTCGTGAAGTTTCAGGACTAGAGCTGTGCAGAGACAGAAGTAAAATTGTCTCTTAATTCTCAACCTTCAACACCACAGAAATGTTCACAACACACTGCAGTATAGAAAACTACTACTAAGGAAAGTGGTTTGTGGAATGCAAACTGCTTCAAATTCAGATAACCATCTTTTGGTGTATTTTATGCAAAAATGAGCAAAAATAATTTTCTGAAAGAAAACACACAAAAAAGTTCCCTGTTTTGAGCTCTTCCTTCTTCGGGGCAATCCTCAACTGGATACACTGTATGAGAATATTGTCTTCTTTCCCTCTGCCTGCTACAGATTAGCATCCCAGCTTTCGCCTATCTTCTTTAGCCTCTTCCCCAAGAGATTAATCCCAAGAAAAATTTCCTGTTTCGATTACCTATGTTGAAAAATGTCATTTGTCAAAGTGTCAAGGAGGACAAGGTGGCAGCACATTCTCAGCATCTCATGTGTAAATGTTCCAATTTCAAAAGCACAGTAATAATATCTAGAGAGCGAGAAGCACACTTTTTGTTCAGGATTTCTCCACTCAGTGCTTTACAATGAATGTGTATGCAGTTTGTTATTTACTATCTCTAATCCAATTCTTGGATACACTGAGTTTCTCACTATATGTATATGCAAGGGGAAACATAATGCATGTAATCCCTATATTGATGAGAGTATTTTGTATTTAAAATAATTCTAAATAACAATTCTAAATAAATGAGTTGCAGAGAATACATTAAAGGGTGCCTTGTAAAACATATAAAACAAGTAACAAAAATAATAATGAAAGTTCTCTGGGGAAACAATGTACTTGAAAGTCACTATTCTCTGAAGAGTCTCTATGCAGCCTCTCTCTTAAAAAAATGAGAGTAATAAATTACAGAATTTTTAATCTTAATTCTAGAATTGATAGAACTTGAAACAAACTTATAAATTTCTTCACATACTTTTTAAAATGTTTTGCACAGAACTTAGTAAATTAAAGGAGAATACTTTATGGTGACCCTAGGACATACGAAGCTTTTTTTTGGCAGTAGGTCACAAACAAAATATGTGAAATTTTTGGCATGAAGATGAAATGCAGTATCCCCCTTTCTTACAAAAAACCCAAATCATCCATAAGATGATAGAGATCAAAATCCTACAATGTTCAATTAGGTTTTGATGACAGAGACTGTAGTTACACCCAGTTTTCCAATTTATTTTGCTATATAATACCAAATAACTTTCCAATCATCTTCAAAAATAGCTAATAAATATTTTAGTACACTGTCTCTGTAATATCTAGGTGATTTCTCTTAGGAATCTACTCATATATCTTAAACTCCTATTTACATTTATTTTGTAATAAACAGAACTCTAAGGAGATCAACCTTGATTCACGCTATTGCCTAAACAACAGAGAAATATTATGTATTTTGTATGACCACATAAGGTATTCTGCAATTTAAAAAAAAAATATTTCAGGGAAATAGCACTGTTTTTGTAAGCTTTCTGAAAGTTTCGAAAAACAAGATCATTCAGATGAACGCCTGTACCAAGACATAGAATACTTATTTCTTCCAG